TTTGGGGACATTTCTGGGCAGCATATTGCATCCTCCACCAGGGCTATGGTTTTGCTGGCATGTTATCAAGTGTGAAGAGTTCCATCCATCAGTGCTGACCTTGTGGGAGGCTCTAAATTTAGGTTGCTTAAAAGTCAGTATTTCTGGCCAACATGGCATTACAGAACCGTGTGTTCAGCAAGAACACACCCTGCCCGTGACAACTGCCAAAAGTGGGGGCTAGATACACTGCCAAAGCTGTCAAAAGATCAAATGCAGACAGATGTCCCTCTGTCAAAGTGAGAGAGAGGGGAAGCAATCTCAATGTATGGCTCAGGAGAGGATTTAAAATTGTCATGAACTGGAAAAAGTGCACATGAAATAAAAGCCCTGACATGCAGTCAAACTAAAACTATTTACATCACACTATATGATATAATAACAATTTCAGATCAGACTCCAAACCCCAGGGACAATCTCATCTTGGCCTAAAACCTCAAAATAAACCCCACAAGAGGGACCTTTTTTTCCCCATCCCAATTCTCATCTTGGAATAAGAGTTAAAGCACAGGTAATTTCCAAATGCCTCTTGTAATTTACAAAACCAAAATCCAAGCCAACCCCCATCCAGCAGGTGCAGCAGATATCACTTGCCCTTGCCATTTCAGAGCTGTGTGGTGTTATTTTACTGGATGGAAGGAGCCATAAAGCCTAGTTAAAGGTCAACTTCTTAAAATCTATTTCTGCTCCTTCCTCTGCACACAGGAGACCCTGGCAGACTCCAGCAGCAGGGATCAATAGTGAACCAATCTTCACTGTTGTCTTTAGCTCTCTATTTGAGCTAAGTTAGCACAATAATTCCTGGTGACTCCGGCTGAAGACCCTCTGCTTTTGGGAATTACATAATGTCAACAGGGATGTGTCTTAACCTGCCTGACGTGCCTTCTGGACTTGCTCAGGACCCCATGACATTTGGGGGCTGGACACCTGCCAGGCCCATAGGCTGTTTATGGAACATGGATTAGGGAATCTATGATGAAGAGTCTCATGTTTCCAGAAAAAAGGAATTCACCTCTTAGATTCCTAAAGATTTATTTTTAGTCCAAACTTAATACCAACTTCCAAAGGCCAGAGGGCAACCCCTCACCATTTGACTTTACAGAGTAGCATTTTCTTTATTCTGAACAGAAGTACCGAAATCAAATTTGCCTCCCCCATTCCTCTTCTACCAATGCCAGTATGAAAATCCCATGGTCTATGGGAAATCTACCGTGGAGCCTGAAGGTTTAAAAAGGCACAGTCCCTCAGGGAGCCCCAAACTCCTCAAAATGGGTTTGTTCTAAACTTGGGAACAGAGGTAGAAATGGAGCTTTCCCAACAGTTGATTCCTGGACCCTGGCTAAGGCCTCTGTCCACAGGTCAAGCCACCTCGTAAGCAGCCCCAGCACAAATACGTTCCTACCAGACTCCTGAGGAAGAGTGCTGACGGGTTTTATTTTGATGTAGCAGTGTCCCTGGGAAGGGGTATGCTGGAAATACAGTGCTGATGGAGTGCAGTATTACATGCCATAGTGTCTGAACTCGCAACCCTGGAAACCCTTCTCCTAGACCTACCAGTCATCTTGGCTCTAAACTAAGCCAGAATCAATCTGCTGGATGACCTTTTGACTCACCACAGCAATTCGAGTTGTTGTAGAAACCCTGGGGCAGGAGTGTCAAGCACTGTGGCCAGGACACCTAAAGGCCACACAGGTGTGGGAGAGAACCATGGCCAGTGACAAAGTAGGTCTTGTTTGCTTGAGGAGACTTGGCCAGTTGAGGTGGAAGGAGGGAGAGAAGGAGAGGAGGGACTGGCTAGTAAAGACAATCTCCCCACAGGCTGTGAAACCCAGACTGGTACTTGCCAGGTCCACTGTGGCTAAATGAACACTGCATTGCCTTCCGGTTTCCTACAGGCTGTCCCTGTCTCCACACTAACTGACACTCACCTCATGAGTTCCATGAGAGAAGTTCAGACGAGCCACATTCATTCCAGACTTAATCATCTCCTTCAACATTTCCACNGAGAGAAGTTCAGACGAGCCACATTCATTCCAGACTTAATCATCTCCTTCAACATTTCCACCGATCGGGAAGCAGGGCCTATTAGAAAAAATTTGAAAGCCACAAGTGTTAACTGTTCAAAGTAGGAAAAACACTGAGTTTACCTAAGCTCAAAGAACTTTTAATTTTTTATTTTATTTTAATTTTTTTTTGTCTTTTTGTCTTTTTTTTTTTCGTGACCGGCAACGGATCGCAACCCTCAGTGTCGCGCCCGTAC